TGATGTTATGCATGTGAGACTTAGAAACGAAATGATAGTTAAGGATAAGGTGATAACCAAACCGATAGGTTAATTATCGAGGCCTCAAGCTTGTCGATTCAGGGCCTCGAGGTCGATTCCAGAGCTTGGCTAGGAGCTATCAAAGGTGGTCGAAGTATGACTAACCGTTATAGTAAAATCAATGAATGCTCTTTATAGCCAATGATAAGCAATAAATGATGAACAATAACGAAGATAGTAAATGGAAGTAATAATCTCAAGAGAGTATGTTAGAGAGCATAGAGAATGTTCTTGTTTATTTAGTATGGAGCAATCAATCCTTACAATGTGGTAAGGACCCCCTTTATATAGAAACATGGGGGATCCTATCATTGTAAAAATGCATTTATTACAAAGATATGGAGATGGGACAGCTAGTCGACGTCATGATGTAGGATCAGACTAGCCTTACGAACTTTGCCGGCTCTAGCTGCACCCTTTGGGAACTCCCCTTTTTCCAATATAGTCATTGGCCTGCATTGCCCTGAGGTCGAGCATCGACGGCCCTCGAAGGTGAACTTCGACCCCAGTCTCGAGCCTTGGGAAGTATGTTCGCGGGGCTTCATAATGACGAGGAAATTGGACCCTCCGATTTCACCGTGCACACGAGGTAAAATTGATAGAACTCTATTCTTGAGGGAAAAGGTAAGGATCTTCTTGGAGTACAAATATGTGTTGATGACATAATTTGGGGCAACCATTGAAAAAATAAGTAAGAAATTTGCTAAACTTATGGGGAGTGAATTAGAAATGAATATGATGGGTGAGCTTAATTTCTTCTTAGGCTTATAAACTAAACAAAACTCAAATACAACCATGATCCATCAGCAGAAATATGCAAAAGAGATGATTAAGATGTTTAAAATGGAAGAATCAAAGGAAATAGACACTCCTATTGCAACGGCCACAAAATTGGACATAGATGAACTTGATTCATCTGTTGATCAGAAGTTGTATAGGGTTATGATTGGTTCACTTTTGTATCTTACTGCTAGCAGACCTGATATTATTTTCAGTGTTGGGTTTTGTGCTCGATTTCAAGCAAACCCAAAGGAATCCCACTTGACTGATGTTAAGAGAATATTGAGATACTTGAAAGGCATTATTGACCTTTACCTTTGGTATCCAAAAGGTAGTAACTTTAACATAGTGGGATATGTTGATGCTGACTATGCAGGTTTCTTTGTGGATAGGAAGAACACCTCAGGTATGGCACACTTCCTTGGTTCATGTCTTGTGTCATGGGCTACTAAAAAGCAAAATTCAGTGGCTTTATCTATTGCTGAAGCTGAGTATATTGTTGTTGCTTCCTGTTGTGCTCAATTGTTGTGGATCAAATAACAGTTAATGGATTTTGGTATTCAAGTTAGTTGCATCCCTATTTTCTATGATAACACTAGTGCTATTAGTTTGACTAAGAACCCGGTTCATCATAAGAGAACTAAGCATATAGATGTTAGACATCAATTCTTGAGGGACAACTATGAGAAAGGACTGATCACTATAGAATTTTGTGCTACTGATAAACAGATTGCTGACATCTTTCCAAAAGCACTGAGTAGAGAAAGCTTTGAAAGGAACAGATTAGAACTAAGGATGATTAACATCACCGAATGGAACCAGTTCAGAATGTACAATGAAAAAAAATTGGTTTGGAAATCTGGAACTTGTGTAAATATCTAGATTAATCTTTGCTCAGTCTCATACTGTAAATAGTATACTCCTGTGCCATGTATTGATATGACTCACTAATCTCTAACAAAATTTCTTCTATTTTGGCAAATTGAGCATGATCAAGAGGATTCTTAGGGAAGAACTTGGTTCATCAGTACTGGTTCATCTGAATAATGAGGTATGTTTTCTACACTCTGCACAATTAGAAATATCAATATTTAATTCATGAGCAGAGTCCTACCTATGTTCAAAAACTTCAGAAAAACCTATCATTTTGAGTTTGAACCAGTTCCGTCTCTATTAGAATACTCACCGTATAAAATACCTAGAATCTTAGGAAGCTTAACCGCTCGTTCAACCTGAAATTTCAGAGTGATTGGACTTCTAATTGACTACAAAAAGCTGTCGTTAGACATTAATTAACCCTCTCTCTTTAAAAACCATCATCATCATTACTGTCACTCTCATAATTCTCAAAACCGTCATTTTCTTTCGTTCTTTACTCTTCTCTCTTCAAAAGCTCAATTCAAAAAATTTCTTCCAGAATTAGAAAAGATGACCAACCCCAAGATAACCCAGGCACTCCTCCACCACCTACACCCTCCAATTCCTCCACTACTCCTCAACCTAGCACAACCCTCCAACCTAGGAAAAGGCGAGTGAAGATGCTTGCTCGCAAAACTCTGGCTACAAGTGCTCTTTCAAAAAAAACTAAATGTAAAATTAAAGGCTAGTCAAGCCCAAGATTCTGAAAATTATAATGATTCTTTCAAGTCTGCGAGTGACAGGGAAGGAACTAGGTCTTCTGATTCTGAGAAAGAGCAAAATCCCCTTTCTGAGGTACGTTATGTGTTAGTTAAAAATTTGGACAATCATTTTGTTTTGATTGATTCTGTTATGAATGTGGAAACGCCTGAGTCAAGAAGGAGGGGATATAAAAATAAAAGAGAAAAAGAAAAGGAGAGTGAGGGTGTGAGCAGTAATGTGAGGGGAATAGGGAGAGAGGTGACAGATTCCTCACCCACCTCTGAAGTTGTTAAACTGGCACTGTGGACCTGAGCCAGAAAAGGTTGTAGAAAGTAGCAAGAAAACATGGGGAAGTGGTTCAAGGGAGGCTGTTAAAGGGCTGGTCAATCTCAGTTCACATGCAGATAAATCCGGTTCATCTATTGAGGAGACCCTAGCAGACCTTCTGAAGAAAGTGGGTGCAAGCTATAACCCCAAGAAAAGGAGAACCCCAACACCAAAAGCTCCTAGCACTACAAAAACTACCAAGAAAAGAAAGACTACTTCTCCAATAACTGTTGATTCCTCTACCAAAGGAAGGGCCACAAGGAGTAAGTTAAACCTGAGTGAGAATGAGCTACAAAAAGCTATGGCAGAAAGCAGGAAGAAAAGAATGGACAAAGGGAAAGCTAAGGTTGCAAAGCCTGTTGAGGCTGTTGATGTAGATGTGATGGACTCGGTCAATCAGGAAGAACATGTGACTAAGGAGGTTCATACCCCTAAGCCCAAGAAGACCAAGACTTCTTCAAAGAAGTCTTCACCTGTTTCCAAGGCTGTTGAACCCTCTTCTTTGGCTAAAAGAACAAGGTCTGTTGTGAAAGCCAAGCAAGTTAAGATTACTGAAGAAGAAGATTGGAGTGGTGAAGAAGAGGGTGAATCTAATAATGAACAAGATAAACTGGCCAAGTTTGGCAAATGCAGAATCTTGAAGGGTAGACTTTTGAAGGATTTGGAGGAACCAAGGATGGTTCGACTAGTTGATGCTCTAGCTGTTCAGGGATGGAATGACATGGTCCTTCAGTTGGATAGCATGCTAGCAAGAAATGAGATTATTGAGTTCATGGCCAATGCAGAGGCTAAGGATGGCAGAGTTACCAGTCAGGTGAAAGGGGTTCAAGTGACTTTCGATGCAAAAGAGCTGTGTGAGATTCTTGATACTCCTTCTGAAGGGTATGATGACTACACGAGGCAAAAATGGCCAAGTCTAGACTCTCTTCCTACTGCCCTTGCCATTACTAGGAAATTCTGTGATATCACAGAAGTGAATGAGGTCAAGGTTGTGCATAAGAGTGAAATGAAGTCATGCCACAAAGTCCTGTTTGAATTTGTCAACAAGTGTTTGTTGCCTAGGCAGGAAAGAAGACACATTGCTAACTACATGGATTTGGTTTTGATGGAGTGTCTTGAAAGTGGAAGGCAGATCAACTAGTCTAGATTTATTAACATGCTTCTTTATAGGGTTATCAATGGCTCCAAGGCCCATGCCACTCTGTATGGGTTTATTCTCACTGATGTTCTTGCTCTTTGCAATGTGCCACTAAAGATGTGGGAAATGGCCACAAACAAAGACCATTTTGGAATCAACACTCTGATTTCTTGTGACTATGAGGTCAATGCCATTCCCAATGAACCTAGTTCATCTAAAAAGACATCTATCAATAGAAAGCTCAGAGCTCTATTGCAGGAGAGTGGAGCAAAGGATGCTGAGATAGCTAGGCTGAAGACTCGGTTGGCAGAGGTTGAATCTGAGAGAGATGCTCTTAGAACTAAGCTCACAAAAGAAAAGGAAAAGAATGATGGCATTCTTCAAGACATGATGCATCTTCTCCAAGCCAAAACTCAATCCTCTAGTTCTTCCAAGAATTAATTTCCTTAGCCTTCATTTCTTGAACTTTTAGTTCTTCCAAGACTTAAAATCTTTGTGTTCTTTAATTTCTGTACTTATTATTCCGCAATAGTAGTAGTTGGAACACATAGAAGAATTAGGTCCTTCTATAATCAGGTTAGGCGAAAAATTGGACACAACACAAATCACCCCCTCTTGTGTGGTATTGAAGTATAAAACATCACTAAAGTAAAATAATTTCCTGCAGTTACTTTTGAGGTTGTTTGAATAATGTTTGTTACTCCCTTCGGACTATAATAATTGGCCTTTTTGTCTTTTTATTTTGGTCCAAAATAAGTGTCAATTTACATAAACAAGAATGAATTAATTTTATATTTTTAAAATTTAGCCTTATTTACATATTCCAATCTGTCAAGATAACTATTAATTAAGGGTGATTTAGTAAATATATTTTTTTCTAAGAGTTCATATTTTCTTAAGGGGTATACCAAAGATTAAAATATCACTTATTATGGACCGAATGGAGTACTAAATATCATGCATTCTTTTTCTTACTATATAGAGGAGCCCTAAAGCATGCGGTCGACATCTCTGCTTGCCGACATGAGGGCAGTTAGGTATTTTCATCCACCTTTTATGCTACGAGAAATTTCCTGCGCTTCTGTACAGCAACACGTAGCTAAAGTTGGCTGACTACGCTGTCTGTGAGATAACAACGCACAGAAAGCGCTAACCTACGGAGATTTTTTAACTTCTACGGAAACTCTCTGTTGTCTCTTCCCCGTGCCTCCCTATTTTTTGCTTTATTTCTCGATTTTAGTCCATCAATTCTCCTTCTGCCAATATCAATAGCGCTGGTGAGGCTTTCTCCATTACTGTCCTTTTACAAGTCGACTCTTCTGTGAATTTTGCACTCCTTTTGACAAGAGAAATTTAGGTTTCGGTTGTGGTTGTTCGCTGCTTTAGCTTTGTTCCATCAAGGTTATCGTACTGTTGTACTGCAAAATTTAATTTTCGGTGTCGATTGGCTAGGTGTTTGCGTATTACAGAAGAAGTACGACTGACCTTGTCCTGTTTCTCTATTGAAACGACTGACCTTGTCCTGTTTCTCTATTGGATTTGGATTAGAAATCAGGGCTTTTTATTTGCAGGTGTTATTTCTTTCTTGTTTTGGGCCTCATTGGGTTTTTCCTTTTGGGACGAATCGAGATTGACATGAAGTTCTTTCGCTATCTTGTTATCTGTTGCACTTAGTTCTTCAAATTACAGAACAACTTACTGCAAGTTGGAAATCTGGAGGAGTATCTAATTCCAAATTATCCAGCTCTGAAATCCCACAGGTTGTGTTACCATTTCCTTGTTATCTGTTGCACTTAGTTCTTAAATGCATAGAAAGCCTGTTATATGCATGAATAGGTAATGCAATAATTTGTTTTACATAACTGTAGTATAAGAGTAAGTATGCTATTCAAAAGGGCGTGTTATCACAGGAAACACCTATAAGAATCTTATAGTACGAGGCACTTAAATATATTGTTATCTTTTTTATCGAAACTTCTTATGAAAGAACTCAAAGTGATTTAACTTTTACATGTGTTAAATTTTTGAAGATTATATTTTGTTTCATACTGGTATCCTTTTTTTGCTTCTACTTTGTGTTCCACGTTTTTCCGAGCAAGTAAATAATATTTTTGTAGCCTTTGATCTCTCAAATTGGCTTTGGAACCTTAATTTTTGTAGGTTGACGCTGTCATAATAGGAAAACTGCGAAGTGTATTTATTTTTATCCGCAGAATGCATCATGGTTCACAAGTTAGGGAGATTGCATGGCACATTGACGACGCATTGTTAGGAAAACGGTCAAGCTACAGTTCCTGTTTGGGTTGACAAAATTAAGAAAAAACTTGGCTTGATCCATATCCAATATCACCTAAGTGGACTTGAAGATAACAGTAGCTTGGAACAGACCATTTATTAAAAATCATTAGCCATACTTTTCAAGAGGAGAGGAAGGGTTTAGACTTGGCTAAAGAAGCTCTTGTCCTTTTCCGGATATTTAAATGTCAAATTGTAAAAGTAGGAGCAGATTAGTTTTGACTATGATATTTGATTGGATTGGATTGAGAGCTAAGAAGAGGCTTATTGTCAGGCATCTGGATGGACTTCTCTTAGTTTCAAAAAATCATAGCAATTGCAGATATACTTAAAATTGGAGCTAATTAGTAGAATTATATAAACCGTTGATCTAAAAATTCATGTTTGCTGCTGAACACTAGCTCATTCTTATCTGTTTTGCAGAGCTCAAGAGAGCCTGCCATCCATTTACAAAGATACAAATTCTGGAATGTCATCAACTCCTCAATCAGAAGTACCAAAGCTAGAGAACAAATCATGGCACTGTCTTGGTGCCCGAACAGAAAGGAACAAAGAGATAATCAATTTCAAAGTGGACGTCTAATAAAATCAATTTGAGTCCAGAAAGTTTTTATGAATGAGATAATCTATTTCAACAAAATTCCATTCTTGAGTGGCTTCTGTATTATGAAATGCTCATCTTTCCACCAGTAATGGTGAATTTGATCCTTTCATTCATTCTTTTTTAGTAGACATGATTCAATTGATAAAACAAATCATGTTGTATCCTATTTTGTCTTCTATTTGTTATTGTATTGGTTTAAATTTATGCTTCAGTATATTAAGGCCACACGCTTGTGCTATATTTGCCTCAATTAATCCAAAGCTTCAAGGTTGCAGACGCAAGTTAGAAAAAAAATTGTTAGAGCATGAACATACTGCAAGTTGTTCGCATGGGCAAGATTATCTAGTGTACTTTTATATGTTGAATTCAGTATTGTCGTCAATAAGCTGTAACCATACAGCAGGCTTGTCTCTTGGAGAAAAAAATTGGTACGTCTCTCAATGAGAAGATTAATATGTTTGTGTTTTTTGTCAATCTGCCGTTCAGTGGAGAGTAATTCTTACGTTCTTACTAAATTTTAACTATACAATTGTCTGAATGATATCCCTTTTTTTTGGTGCAAAAAGATAAGGAACAATAAAAATTTCCACATTACTCATTGGAAAATATAAAGAAGTAATGAAAAACTTTTAAAAATTTGTTCAATTCATTGTTAGAGACAAAGGTAAATTTACGGAAAAAGTTAATTCTCCAAATTTACCTTGTCTAGTATGTATAAAAGCGTCAATATTCTACTCAAAGTTTTACAATATCCAATTGCATGTCTTGCATTTGTAGCAGGCGTGTGATACGCTAAAAAAATGGAGTAGTATTAGCAAATGATGTTTTATTTGAAATCAATGTATTTGATGATTTATATGTAATGACGTTGAAGAAATACATAACCAAGATTGATCTTTTGGCTGCAAAAATATCAGCAACTTCCTGATATACCTAACAAATCATCTAACCACACAACGGATTGCATTGCAAGTGCTTGCCTTTAATCGGTCCTAGTAGCAACAACAATATACCCAGTATTATCTCACATTGTGAGGTCTGGGAAGAGTAGTATGTACGCAGGTCTTACCTCTATCTTGTGAGTATAGAGAGTATGTTTCCAATAGACTCTCGGCTCAGGAAAGCATAAGCACCAAATTAATGAAAATATAGACAAGAAGAGACAGTACCAAAAAGCCATATAAAAGCAGAATAAAAACAACAATATAGTAATGTGATCAATAATAAAAGAAAACAACGGTTAGTCATAAAAACCTACTACCAACAAAAAGCAAGACTACGTGACAATACTACTATTATGAACACTCTAGACTACCTACTCTACTATCATAATCCTCGACCTCCATACATTCCTATCAAGGACCATGTCCTCGGTAAGCTGAAGTTGCGTCATGTCTTGCCTAATCACCTCTCCCCACCTCTTCTTTGGCCTACCTCTACCTCTCTGTAGGCCCTCCAATGCCAACCTCTCACACCTCCTCACCGAGGCGTCTGTGCTACTCCTCCTCACATGACCAAACCACCTAAGCCACGCTTCCCGCATTTTGTTCTCAATAGGGGTCACACCCACCTTGTCGCGAATAATCTCATTTCTAATCCTATCTAACCTGGTGTGACCTCACATCCAACTTCAACATCCCCATTTCTGCTACCTTCATCTTCTGGACATGAGCGATCTTGACTAGCCAAAACTCAGCCCAATACAACATTGTTGGTGTGACCACCACTCTGTAGAACTTACCCTTAAGTTTCGGTGGCACCTTCTTGTCACACAAAACTCTAGAAGTGAGTCTCCATGTCATCTATCTTGCCCCAATAAGATGTGCGACATCTTTATTAATCTCCCCATCCCCTGGATAATAGACCCAAGGTACTTAAAATTCCCTCTCCTAAGGATGACCTGCGAGTCCAACCTCACTTCCCCTTCTCATCCTTGAATCTCGCCACTGAACTTACACTTCAAGTATTATGTCTCATCAATCAATACAATATCATCTATAAATAGCATGCACCACGGCACCTCCCCTTGGATGCGGTGCGTCAGTACGTCCATCACCAGAGCAAACAAAAAAGGGCTGAGTGCCGACCCCTAATACAAGCCCATCATAACCGAAAAATGGTCCGAGTCTCCACCACCGTCCTCACTCGGGTCTTTATTCCATCATACATCCCGTTAATAAACCTAATGTAGGCAAAAGGTACACCTCTAGCCTCCAAACATCTCCACAAAATCTCGTTCGGAACTTTACCGTACACCTTTTCTAAGTCAATGAACACCATATGCAAGTCCTTCTTTCTCTCCATATACTGATCCATCAATCTTCTAACAAGGTGGATAGCTTCTGTAGTCGAACGCCCCGGCATAAACCCAAATAGGTTCTCGAAAATAGACACACTCCTCTCCACCCTTAGCTCTACCACTTTCTTCCAGACTTTCATGGTATGGCTAAGCAACTTGATATCCCGAAAGTTATTGAAATTTTGGATATCACCCTTGTTCTTGTATACAGGAACCTTCGTGCTCCACCTCCACTCTTTGTGCATCTTCTTCGTTCTAAAATTGACATTAAATAACCTAGTGAGCCACTCCAGTTTGCCTTGCTCGCACTCTTCCAAAATTCCACTAGGATTTCATCCAACCCCGGTCGTTTTGCCCCTGGTCATCTTAAGCATAGCCCCCTCAACTTTATCAACTCTAATCCCCCTACAATACCCAAAGTCACAACAACTCCCAGAGAGTTCCAAATCACCCAGTACAATGCTCTTGTCCCCCTCCTCGTTCAAGAGACTATGAAAATAGGTCTATCATCTCCTACGAATAAGCCCCTCATCCAACAAAACTCTACATTCTTTGTCCTTGATGCACTTCACTTGGTCCAAGTTATGCGCCTTGGCTAACCTGAACAATCTCATATCCCTACCTCGGTCCTCGAGTTCCTCAAACAAATGACAAAAAGTTGCAGTCTTGGCTGCCGTAACTGCTACCTTTGCCTCTTTCTTAGCCCACTTATAATGCTCATTATCGGCCCTCGTCTACACTTTCCACTAGCTTCAGATACAGTTCTTTCTTGGTTTTCACTTTTTCTTCACATCTCCATTCTACCACCAGTCTCCATTGTGCCTACCAGAGTAACCCTTTGAGACTCCTAAGACCTCTCTCGCGGTTTCCCTAATGCACTGCGCAATCATGGTCCACATAGCGCTTGTATCCACATTACTCCTCCAAGCCCCCATAGTCACCAGTTTGATCCCCAACTCCTACGTTTTTTCCGTAAAGGCTCCCCACTTTATCCTATGTTTGATATACATCGCCCTCTTATTCCTCTTCCTCGTGATCTCAAGGTCCATGATCAAGAGCCTATGAAGGATTGAGAGGTTCTCACTCGGGATGACCATTCAATCCGTGCAAAGACCTCTATTGGACTTCCTGTAGGGTAAGTAATCAATTTGAGTCTTGGCCAGCAAACTCCGGAATGTGGCCAAGTGCTCCTTTTTCTTTGAGAAACTCGAGTTTGCTATCACCAAATTAAATGCTCTAGCAAAGTCTAACAGAGACGTTCATCTTTTATTTCTATCTCCAAAACCAAAGCCACCATGCACATCATCATAACCCCCAGTCGACGCTCCAATGTGACTATTGAAATATCCTCTTATGAAAAGCTCCTCGGTATGCGGGATACATGCACCATCTCATCCAAATCCTCCCAGAAACGCCTTTTGACTTCCTCGTCCAAGCCTGCTTGGGGTGTGTGCGCACTGATTATGTTCAAAGTAAAACCTCCAGAAACTAGCTTAATAGTCATCAGTCTGTCATTCACTCTCCTAACTTTCACCACTAGTTCATGGGGGTCAATATCAATCAAGATACCTACCCCGTTCCTGGCCCCCACCTTCCCAGAATACCAAAGTTCGAAACTGCTCATATCCCGGGCCTTATCTACTACCCACCTAGTCTCCTGTACACAAGCTATATTAATTTTCCTTTTCTCGAGAATCTTTGCTAACTTTACAGATTTTTCAGTCAAAGTTCCTATGTTCTAAGACCCCACTCTCATCCTAGTAGCTCCCTTAGCCCTCTTACCCCTGCACCTCATCCCCTGCGTTGACACCCCCGAAGACAAGACCTTTCCCTACCATCGTTGACCAAAACCACTATAATTTAGGAATCACTGCGCAAGTACTATCCCGAAAATAAGCGACAAAAATAAAATGAATTACCGAAATATAATCTGCCACTAAAGGTCGCAAAACATGTGAAGAAATAAAATAAAGGAACTAACGGGAACTATAATCTACAACTAAAGGTCAGAAAAACATGTGAAGAAATAAAACAAAGGAACTAAAGGAGATATAATCTATAACTAAAGAATAGAAAAGCAGGTGAAGAAATAAAACAAAGAAACTGAAGTAATTATGATTTACAACTAAAGGATAGAAAAATAGGTGAAGAAATACAAAACAAAAGCTAAATGGGACTATAATCTACAACTAAAGATCACAAAGAAATTGTGCAAAACTAGAAAGAACTACTAGGGGATATTTGAAATAAAGATTCAAAATAAAGATGTAAACATGTAGATAACAATATAAACAAGTAGGTAAAGCTATCACTTGTGCAATTTGATAATGCTTGGCAAATACTAACTAAAAATTCAAGAAAAAAAATTGGAAGACAAGGTGATAAAATTATGCTAAAATATCAAGACAGAGGAACAATAGAACCTAGATTGCAACTCCAAAGAACAAAGTTCAGAAATTCCGGAAGAGAACTTATCGAATTCAGTTTTTAATCGACACTTATATGTACCTTCAGCTTCAAATAGATTGAGGATCAAACCTATCGAATTAGTTTTCAGTGATTCAATTTGTTCAAACAATCCCGAATCAAAAGACTTAATTTCTTCGTGTTCTTCGACTTCGATTCCGAAATTTTCAACCAAAACCCTAGAAATTCAGCCCCAAATTCGTTCAATCTTCTGAATCGATTGCACAATCAAGAACAAGATTAATTCAAATATGTACCAAAGTGCAAATTTGAATTGGAAATATAGCTAGCTAGAAAATCTTTTTCTAAGAGATCTAAACTGAAGAATTTCTTGCGTTCTTGTTAACCAAGTTCAAATTATGAATTCTGCCCGATCTTAATTGTTAAAATTGAATCCTCTATAACTGGAAATAAAGGTAACCAGTCCTAGTAGATTGGATTAAAAAGAAGCTCTTATCAGTCACATAATATTATATTTAAAGATTGAAAATTGAGAGAATTTTCTGTTTATTGAATCAATGTTCCTCTGTACAGATCGTGTATTAATTAATACAAAATGAATGGAACATATTCCTAGTTATGACACATGTTCCTACACTGTTATCTATGTGCTAGCCAACTATTGGATACACACAAAAATAAACATAGTATTTACAATGAAGAAATATAAAATTGTTTTTCTGGTGTCTTTTTTTTTTTGGTAATTAAGGATTTTATTACCAACAGAGATTTGTACATGTATAAACTAAAACTCCTAAAATTGGACAGATGGCCCCAAAGTCGGGACAATCAGCTTTCGTTGACCGCCTACTACTCCTATACATCTTATTTATCGAGCTATTCTATCGAGCTATGGGTAAAAATTTAAGAACTGTATTTGCCTACTCAATCGTATCTTCAAACTCCCTCTACAATGAACTTCTTGAATTACTTGCCTTGTGATGTCTTCACAGCTTCTCTTCTGTTAGAAAATTCGACGATTCCTTTCTTGCCAGCCACATATGGTATGTTGTTCCTGCCATGATCAATCTGTAAACCTCAGCTTTTGGACCCTTACCATTTGCATGTTGGATTGCCCAGTCAACTTCTTTGTTCCAGCTAAAAACCTGCCTAGTAACCCCCTGTCGTGCTAATAATTTCCTCCATATGCATGCCAAGTAGATGCAGGCAAAGAAGAGGTGTTGATGCTCTTCCATTTCCTGGTCACACAATGGACATACTGGATTGGCCTGCAATCCCCATTTACTTAATCTATCTTTAGTATACAGCCTATTCTGAAGTGCTAAGTATAAAATGAATATCCATTTGGGGCACCCTTGATTATTACATATCACTCTTCTCCATTTACCTTTGGAAATTCCCCTCTATATTGATTGTATGTGTTTTTTATAGAGTAGTTTCCTGCTGTTAAGATCTTCTTTATGTCCAAACCAGCCTCGTTCAGGTATTTAGTAGCATGTAAGATCTTTTGGACTATGCATGAGGCATGCTTAATTATCACCGTCCATGGATCCAAAGCTTGCTTTTCTTTTTGCACAAATTCCATAGATGATTCAGCAGGGTATATATATATATATATATCAGATATGTTGAGCCTCCCTGCTGCCTTTGGCTTGCATAAGTTTTCTCATGCCACCAAAGCTTTCTTATTTGTTGCAGCATCACCTATCCATAGGAATCTTATACATATGGCTTCAACTGTTTGGATGACTTTCTTTGGTAGAGGGAATATCTGCGACCATAAAGATTGTATAGCAATCAACCCACTTTTTATCAACTGCAATATCCCTGCATAAGTCAAAAATTTCACTGTCCAATGCTTCATCCTTCCCAGCATTTTATCAAGTAGAGGTTGGCATTGATCACTGAGAGTTATTTTGAGCTCAAAGGTACCCCATGATATCGAAATGATAGCTCATCCACTCTGAAACCTAACTTCTGAAGAATCTCTTGTTGAATGTCTACTGGGACTCCTGCAAAATATACACATCTTTTGCTCTGGTTGAGAATAAGTCCTGATACTTTTGAAAAATCCTGGAAACAATCATACAATATGTGTATGGACATTGTATCTCCTCTACAAAACAAGAGTAGGCCATCAGCAAAACTTAGTGGGATGATATTCAGTTTCTCACATCTAGGATGGTAATTAAAATCATGCTGATCTTTTAGAGTTTTCAGCACCCTTGTTAAGTACTCCATTGCCAAGAGAAATAACAGAGGGACATATATAGGGCCCCCTTGTCTCACCCCTTTTCTTCTGTATCCCTTTATCAACCCATGGCTAAGAAGGGTCCCCTTGACATATGTCACTACTCTGCCAGGGACAATAGTTATTTGGATACCATCTACCAGTGTATCCATCACTTGTAACAGTCTACTTGTTAGCATCTTTGAAATAATCTTGTAACGGGTGGAACAATAAGAGATTGGTCTGTATTCTTTAATCAAAGCTGGATTTTTAACTTTAGGGATTAGAGTAACTGATGTACTATTGATGGGCTTATACATCTTGGCAGTGCTAAATAAATTCAGGAATACTTGTATAACCTCTTCACCAATAATATGACATGACTTTTTGAAGAAGTATGTATTGAATCCATCCCCTCCAGGTGCTTTCATATCATCAATCCCTTTTAGTACTTGGATTAAATCCTCTCTTGTAAAAGGTTTAACAAGTTGGATCTGCTGGCTTCTTGTAAGTAGAGGTCCCTTTTTTTATCAATCCAGGGTGTATGGTAGGCAAACTTGTAGCTGCATTCCCCGGTAGTTATTTGTAGAAACCAACTACTTCAACTTCAATACCCTTTGGATTTGTAATCACTTCCCTAGTAGTAGCTGCAATTTTAATTATTTGATTCTGAACCTTTCTCCCCTTCATTTTAGCAAAAACATATGCATTATTTGCATCACCCAATTTAAGCCAATGCACTCTAGATTTCTGTTTGTTGATATTCTCCTCAATATTGTCCCATTTTTCTAGTTGGGATCTGTGATCCTTTTCTTCTTCAAACAAAGTGCTAGATATATTATTGCCCCTTATCTGTCCCTGCATGTCTTTTAATTTATCTCTGATGGAATTGATCTTCTCTGCTATATTTATAAATTCTCCTCTGTTCAGGTTCTTCAGAATTAATTTAATAATTTTCAAGTTTTGCCATATGGCTGTCATTCTCCCTTCACGCAAGAACCAATAGCCTCTACTAACCTTCCAAATTCAGGATGTTCTGCCATACAATTGTAGAATTTGAATATCCTCTTCTTTTTGTAAAAAGTCCCCTCTACCTCTATACCAAGTGGGGAGTGGTCAGAGAAAAGCGAGTTCATAATTGCTCTATCAATTCTACTATAAACATGGGTATCCATCCATGTGTATGATCTGCCAATAGTAGGTAGTTCTATCAAGCTGCAATCTCACATTAAATTTCTAAAATGTTTGGTGTCATTGTCATGTACTTCTCTGCTATGTATTATATTTGTTGCCTCCAAAATAGTGCTGAAATCTCCCAAAACCAAGGCCCTACAATTTGGCCCTCTGTATCCCTTATCATATCCCATGAAGACTTTCTATCTTGTATAGCATGCAGTCCATAAACTTTTGAAAATTGAAACTCTTTGGTACTATGATGAAGTTTCACATATCCATGTATAAGCTGTGCATACCTCTCTAAATCTGTTAAGCTAATGATATTTGGATTCCAGAGTACCCATATGTTATCTTTGCATGAAGTGGAAACATTATGACACCGATTCCACCCAGGTACAACTTTATCTATGATCTTAGCAGCTTTTACATCGTAAACTCGATTGTCACGATCCAAAATCTCCTAGTCGTGATGACACGTAACCCAACCCCTTAGGTCAACCAATTAACAATTAACATAATTCTAATAAAATAAAGGTGATCAACAAATAATACATCTAGATTTCATATAATAATCCAAGGACTGGTAGTACAAATCATAAGCTACTAAGACTCGATTATTGCAAAAACTAATATGAAATGAATACAACTTCTGTTTGAAATGTATATAAACAGAATTCAACTCTAAAATTACCCAGGGACATGTGGTAGCCACATCTGAAAGGCAAGAACAACTTGAGAGTCAGCTCCGCTCCAAAATCTGCATTCAAGGTGCAGAAGTGTAGTATGAGTACAACCGACCTGATGTACTCAATAAGTATCCAAAACTGAAATGATGCCTTTTTGGACATAAAATAAGTTTATACAGTTTTAAAAAAAAGTTACATTTCTAACTAAAAAGCAGTATTATACTGCGTTTTACACTAACGGAAAGTTAGCCGTTAAAGTTAAATGCAGTATAATACTGCGTTTTATTTAATCAATTATTTTTTAAAGGGAAACGCAGTATTATACTTTGTTTCCCTAGGCTTCTGCTATCTCTATCCGTGCTTTTTCCTTTCTTTTGTTCTCCCCTTTTTTGTCCTTTTCCTTTTTCTCTTCTCTTTTTGTTTGTTCTTCTTTAGACTCTAGAATCTTGAATTCTCCTTCTTTACCAGCAGAACTCTTATTATTGGTGGGCCCAATTTTATAGGGAAACACAGTATAATACTGCGTTTTATTTAATAAATTATTTTTTTAAAGGGAAACGCAGTATTATACTGTGTTTCCCTATAAAATTGGGCCCACCAATAATAAGAGTTCTGCAGGACTGAAAAAAAAATTTATTTTTTAGTGTAAAACGTATTATAATACTACATTTTACACTGAAACGTATTATTATACTGCGTTTTACACTAATGTTTGAGCCCACCAATAAGTGTTCTGCGGATAACTGACATAACAATAATTCAAATACATAAAACGTGGTATTATACTGCGTTTTACATAAAAAAAATTTTGCACCCCAAGCTCGGACTTGCCTTATTTAAAGGCGTTAGAATTTTATGAAAATCCATTCAAAATTTTCCTTCAAACTTCCGTTCATACTTCTCTCTTCTTCTTATCAAGCATATTTTTATAATGTCTGAAGAGCCAAAAATAAGGGTTTAATTATATTGGGGGTGAGGTTGTAACGGAGAATAACTCTGTGAGGTATAGTTCACCACCACAGTGTCATGTTAAATTGCCGCTTATAATGGAGTACGATAAATTGGTATCGTTGTTATGTAAAAAATGAGTGTGAGGAAACGTTTGGTGAACCTTAAAGTAACCGGTAGATTTTCGTATTCTGTGACTCCGCAGGGGTTTGCTTATTATTCTGAGTTTAACATCGAAGATGATGAAACTCTTAGAGACTTTTTGCGAATTTCGGATGAATACAGGAAATTTATTGTAATAAAATTATTGGAAATGTACGTCAAGGTTGAAGACGTTCCCAATAATGAGGGTGTGCATAGTAGGGATAACCCTCAGTCATCGGGTGGTTATTCTGGAGCAGTTTTTGCCGGACAGATTGCTGATGAAAGAGCTAGCCTTGATTTAAACCGATCACCATCGACAACTGAGCAACCACAAAATAAATTTTTGACTTTATATAATCCACAAGACGACTGGTAAACTTCAATTTTTCTATGCTTTAGCGATGTTTATTTTATGTTTGAATTGGATTTGTATTAACACTCATATTTTTCATAGGGGGTACCGTCCGAATATGAATTTTATAAGTTATGACCCCGCCCCTAGTTGGAATATGCAAAGTTCGGGCGTATTGGACCACGGTGGTCCATCCGATAGTCATCACCAACAAGAAAATATCCATCATGGAATGACAAACACAGTACAACTTGTAAGTAAAGTGATATAGCTATATGTAAAGTATTTATCTAGTTGAGTAGCTTATCATTTTGTTCTTTTTGTGCAGTGAAAACGAGCAACTTGATGTTCCTGACCTCACACAATTTCCCATAAACGACGTACTGACTTGTGTTTTGGCAGATGCGCAGAGTTAGGAAGATGATAGTGATTATGACAATAATGCCGATGAGTCGGGAGATGACACACCCTTCCATGATGAGGATAATGACGAGGAAGAAGTGGATGCCGAACCTGAGCTGACAAGGGAGCATGCTCCTCTACCTCTCGTTAGACCAAGAGTGTACGAGTCTCACGTACCCTTTCATGAGCGGAATATTCCCTACCTTGATAATTTTCCAAATATGCCGGATGTGGATGCCCTCACAAGGGATGATGATGAATTTCGGTCAGCGATGTGGGATGAGTATAGACCAGCGGTGCTTGCAAAGGGCATGTATTTCCCCGATAAAGCTCGCCTAATCAGGGCTGTAAAAATCTACAGTGTAAGAGAGTGTCGTGAGATGACGGTAAGTGAGTTAAATACGGAGGTATACAAGGCTGTATGCCGTAGAGACTTTATGGGTTGTCACTGGATGTTGCGTGCCAGCAAGAAGAAATCAGGTTTGTGGAAAGTGGGTAAATTTATTAGCACCCACAGATGTGAAATGGACACATTCAATGAGAATCACTTCAACCTGGATGTAGACTTGATTTCTCTTGTCTTGATTTCATATTTGGAATTGTCCATTAGGTTCAAGATTAAAGAGTGTATTACAGCCGTCCACCAGGAGTATGGTACTATAACCAAAAGAAAGGCATATCCCGATTGCAAATGTTCCTTTGAACTTATTTATGGCGACTGGGATAAGTCTTTTTCATCTCTGCCCAAGTATATGGCCGCACTGCAACACTTTGACCCCGGGACTGTTGTTGAATAGAGGCGTGAGCGGAGTTCGGATGACCCGAATATACTTTCAACTATGTGTTCTGGTCACTTAAACCAGCAATTGATGGTTTTGTGCATTGTCGCCATGTAATTTCCATAGACGGTACTCATGTCTATGGAAAGTATGATATTAAGCTTTTGATTGCAGTTGCAGTAGATGCCAACAGACAAATATTTCCACTAGATTTTGCCATTTGTGACAACGAAAGCGAAGAGACATGGATGCTTTTTTTGAACCACTTGAAGTAGGACGTTGACTAATAGTGTTCAGGTATTTGTCTAATATTTGATCGACAAGGTGATATTTTATGTTATGTACGGCACTTGCCTGAATGGCAAGAACCCTATGCATAACACTGTTACTGTGTGAGGCACCTGAAGGCCAATTTCCAAAAGAAATATCCTGACAAGGCCTTGCATGATTTAATGTGGATGGCTGCAACTGAGCACCAGCAGTGCAAATTTATGAGGCGCATAGAAGCGATCCGGCATTTAGATCCACGAGCCTATACTTGGATGATGGTACATGACCTTCACATGTGGACATTGCATGCTGATGACGGTAGACGATGGGGACCCTTGACTACAAATGTGTCGGAGTCATTCAACGGCTTGTTGAAGTCTGCCCGTGGATTGCCTGTCACTGTCATGGTCTGCATGATATCAAAACAGAGTGCAGAGAGGTTTGTTGAAAGCATGGAGCTACATCGGCATTGATGGATAGGGGTGTTCAATTTATGCCAATACGGATGAGAAGATTTGAAAGGTACAGGAGGCGAGCACATTGGCATTCATTTTTACAGTACG